GTCACTCATGAAGTTCTATGTGGCTTGGGCCCTTGTCCCGTCAACAGCGAAGACACTGGGTCAGTCGTATCGGTTTGTAACTGAGGGGAGGTGAACCGGTAGTGCCCACTGCGTGTGCAGGGACTCTGGTCCCCAGGAAGGCACAGCAAGTGTCCCCTGTGTCCTCTAGGGCAGGTCACAGTGTTCAGCGAGGTGACTCAGAAATCAAGTCCCTCATAGTATCCCAGAGGGGGACACGTTGACAGTGTTTCCTTTCTTGGGGTTCGAAGTGATCCCTGCTGTCCTGTAAACATAGTCTCTGTCCATCTACCACCACAAAGTAATGCTCCTCTTTTTTTTTTGAGACAGTCTCGCTCTGTCACCTGGGCTGGAGTGCAATGGTGCGATCTCAGCTCACTGCAACCTCTGCCTCCCAGGATCAGGCGGTTCTTCTGCCTCAGCCTCCTGAGTAGCTGGGACTACAGGCACGCACCACCACACCTGGCTAATTTCTGTGTTTTTCTGGAGGAGAACGTGGGTTTCACCTTGTGCGCCCAGGCTAAGGCTGGGTCGTCGAACTTCCTGACCTCGCAATCCGCTTGTCTCGAGCCTCCCCAAAGTGCTGGAATTACAGGCAGGTGAGCCACCGTGGCCCAGCCAGTAATTCTTTCCTCTTAAAAGGCATCAGGCAGGTGTGGGGCTCACGCCTGTATCCCAGCAACTTTGGAAGGCACAAGGTGAGCGGATCATGAGATCAGGCGACTCGAAGAACATCCTGGCTAACAACCGGTGAAACCCCCGTCTCTACGCTAAAAATTACAATAAAAATTAGCCCAGGCAGGGGTGGCGGGCGCCTGCTAGTCCAGCTACTCAGGAGCTGAGGCAGGAAAATGGCAAAAGACCCTGGGGAAGATGAGCTTGCAGTAGGCCCGAGATTCGCGACTGCCTCCGCCCGCACAGGCGAGAGTCGCTCAAAAAAAAGGAAATAAAAATAAATAAATAAATAAAATCAAAAATAAAAAAGAAAGAAAGCGTCGCTAATTTCCTCATCATGATCAACGGGTGCTTGTATGCAGTCAGATGCGTTTCTAGACATCTCTGAGCCGTGAAAAGAGCAGGGGCGTAACAGCCAGAGGCTGGGGCTGCCGCACCTGTCTGCCGGTTTTCAGACTGATGCAGCGGGTGATTTTCCTGGGCCCCAAGCACTCAACTGTTCTTTGCGGGGCGAGTCCTGGTATAATTTTAATACTTAAGCAGAGGCCCAATGACTTTGTTATGTTTGTTTGTTTGCTTTGTTGTTACATGGGTCTTGTTCGTGTCACCCAGGCTGAAGTGCAGTGGCACATCTTGGCTCAACTGGCAAACCTCCACCTCCTGGGTTCAAGTGATTCTGCCTGCCTCAGCCTCCCCAAGTAGCTGCGGAATTTACACGGCACCCCCGCATCGATGCGCCCAGGCTAATGTTTTGTATTTTAGTAAGAGATGGGGTTCACTATGTTGGCCCCAGGCCTGGCGTCGTCGATAGCTCGCTGACCTCTCAATGTGCCACCTGCCTTGGGCCTCCCAAAGTTCTGGATTAGCAGGCATAGAGCCTGGCCCGCACCGGCCCCCACAATGACCCTTATTTTAAAGGACAGGTGACATGGAATCCATGGAAATTGGGTTCATTTTGAAAGAGTCAGTGGTCCTAAGTTGCCGCCAGGCAGGCAGGGGACCGAGGTTCTGCCCTGGCATTTGGCCTTTCTGGCTCCAGCCTGTGCGCGGCGTGTGTGGCGATCGCAGTGCCACCTTCTGGCACACCGGGCACCACCTTGCAATGGTTGTGGAGCTCCATGCGAGTATGCCCACTTCGCATCTGTCCATCTGGGGCATTGGACCTTTCGTGTACTTATTCTAGTCCCATGGTTTTGGCTCCTGGCAGGGCTAAGGAAGAATGATTGGCAAACCCGATAATGTGCATCTCAAAGGGAAGCCACCGCCGAGGAAGGGACAGGAAATGTCACAGGGGTGGGTCATAGCCACAGTCCGCCTGGAAATGAGCCGGGAACGTTGCCCTTGACTTTTGCCCTGGCGTCTGGCCTTCGTACATTGATGGGAGTTGCCTTCAGCCCTCCCTTGGTCCTCTGGCGCCGTCTGTTTGAGCTTTATGTAGGAGCCGAGGTAGGAAGTCAACTCTTTTTTTTTCTTTGGCTTGATGTCTCGTTGTGGAATCTTTCTTACCACATGCCGTGTCTTTCTCGGCTGTGCAGCTGCATCTTTCACTCATGGCTATTCTCTTAGCAGTTTCTTACCCTGTGCAGCTTAAAAACAAACATCTTACCTGACCCGGAGTGCTTTCTGCATGCCCGTGACACCTTTCTCCTTACAGAGGATGAAGAACCATGGAAAAACTTGGGGCTCTGATATTGCGAACTCCCTAAATTCTCCCACCTCCTTTCCCATGTAAGCTGATGCTCAGCCCACCGCCAACCAGCATCAGCCCAGTGGAGGCCCATCTGCTCTGCCTTCGTCACTTCTAGTCCCCCTCGGTTATATTTCGTGTTCCTCATTCTCACCAGGAAGAATCCCTTTCCTTCTGCAGATGGACGGCCTGTCTGTAGGCTGGTGCCATCCTTCAAAGTCTGCTGGTGACACACACTGAGAGGGAACCTAGGTCCAGAATGTGCTTGTCAGGAAGGGTGTGCAGCCCAGGGTTCTCTTCATGTTCACTGACTCTTTCCTTTGTCATCTTCATTCTGCCATTGAGCCTGTCTAGTGGGTTTTTACAATTTCAGTTACTGTATGTTTAGTTCTTTTGTTGTTGTTGTTGTTGAGACGGAGTCTGTTTGTGGAGCTCCAGCGAGTAGCCCACTTCCATCTGTCCATCTGGCTTGGACTTTCTGTACTTATTCTAGTCCCATGGTTGTGCTCCTGCAGGGCTAGGAAGATGATGGCAACCGATAATGTGCATCTCAAAGGGACAGCCACCTGAGGAAGGGTCACAGGAAATGTCACAGGGGGTGGGTCATGCCACAGTCCCTGGAAATGAGCCGGGACGTTGCCCTTGATTTTGCCTGCATTCTGGCTTCGTACATTGAGGGAGTTGCTTCAGCCCTTCCCTTGGTCTCTGGCTGTCTGTTTGAGCTTTATGTAGGGAGCCGAGTAGGAGTCAACTGATCAGAAACTGAATGCTCAGGCCCACCGGCAACAGCCATCAAGCCCAGTAGAGGACGACCCTCTGCTCTGCCATTACGGTCACTACTTCTATCCCCCTCGGTTGATATTTCGTGTTCTTTACATTAAATACTCACCAGGAAAGAATCCCTTTCCTATTTCTGCAGATGGACGGCCTTGTCTGTAGGCTGGTGCCATCCTTCAAAGTCGTGCTGTGACACACACTGAGAGGGAATCCTAGGTCCAGAATGTGCTTTCAGGAGGGTGGTGGCAGCCCAGGGTTCTCTTCATGTTCACTGACTCGTTTCCCTTTGTCATCTTCATTCTGGCCATTGAGCCTGTCGATAATGGGTTTTTCAATTTTCAGTTCACTGAGTATATGTTTAGTTCTTTATTGTTGTTGTTGTTGTTGAGACGAGCAGTCATCACTGTGTCACACAAACAGGGGACGTGCAGTGGCCAGATCTCAGCTTCACTGCAAGGCATCCGCCATCCCGGGTTCACGCCCATTCTCCTTGCCTCAGCTTCCACAAGTAGACTTGAAGGACTACAGGACGCGCCGGCCACATCGCCCGGCTAGGTTTTTTCTGTATTTTTTTAGTAGGAGATGGGGTTTCACCTGTGTTTCGCCCAGGATGGGTCTCGATCTCCTGCACCTCAGTGATCCCGACAAAACGCGAATCTCAAGCCTCCCAAAGATAGACTGGGAATTAAACAGGCTTGAGCCACCGCGCCGGCAAGTTTAGTTCTAAGTAGTATCCATTTGGTTCTCCCTTTTATACCGTTCGTATTTCTCTCCTGAGACTTTTGATCATTCGCTTTATGTCAAAATAGCCCTCCTTACTTCTTGGAGGGTTTTTTTTTTTTGTTTTTTTTTTTTTTTTGAGCGGATCTTGCTCTGTCGCGCCAGGTGCTGGAGGGCAGTGCGCGATCTCAGCTCGCCTGCCAAGCTCTGCTTCCCAGGTTCTC